AAAAAAAAAAAAACGGAGGAAAAAAAAACAAACGGTAACCTGGTTGCCGAGTTCACGAAGTGGATTGGCTTGTTTTGCAACGTCTTTGCCTAGCAATGAAAACCCAATCCCGATGGCAAACACCGGGGGGGGGGGCTTGTTTTACAACGTCGTTGCCAAGCGACGAACACCCAACCCCGATGGCAAACACCGAGGGTGGGCAGCATCCGAGAGGGGGCGCTTATTTCGAAATCGATACTATTTTGGTTCCGTTACCTTCAACCGAAAGAAGTGATGTTTGGGGTGCTTGGCAGCGTATACTGTTTACGGAGCCTCCGGGGGGGGTACGCGGATGAAATGTGTCGATGGGCATGCTGCATGGCGATGGTGTTGCCTACCGCATGTCTCTCACTCTCTAAGCAAGAAGGTCTTGAGTCAACCTTCTTTCTCTTTTGGTCTCTGACGAGCTACCGCACCTAAGTGACGTCCTCCGCCTAGCACTCGCCTTGTCTGCTTTGGCTCCGAGAGAGCGAAGAAAGCATATTCGAGAAGAATGTAGAAATAGACGGACAGGGAGAAGGCGATAGGGTGACGGACAAGAATCCCAAAGAAGCCGTCACCCGTGTGCCAACGCATGCTACCACCAAACCTTGCCGACGATGTTGCCTCAGATCCAATAATCAAAGCAGCTTATCCACTTCTGATGGCTCTAGCTTTTTTGTGACCACGGACCGAGTCTTTGCTAGATTCTGAGACTAGCAACTGACACGAGTTTAATGTGAAGACAATAACAACAACAACAACAACAACAACAACAACAACAACAACTCCTCAACAGCCGTGCGCCGTGTGCTGCTTGGCCTAATGTTAATGTTTCTTGGGAAAATTTGTAGTGTCGTATTGGGTATTCACCGTTCGTCCCGACTGCTTCGTTTCCGTCCTACACCACTCACACTTTCTCCTCCTGCCCCACTTGATTGAAACATGACCGATGTGGACGCCACCCAACACCTCAGGGGAAATACGACGTCGTTGTCGTCTCCATCTTTTTCCTCGAATTCGTCGTCGGCCTCTGCATGTTCGCCATCGTGGCGTGGCTCCTGTTGTTCCGCCTGAAGGAGGTCAAAGAGTGCTGGAAGATCCACGCAAGGATCCGCTACTACCTCTGCCTGACTTTTCTCGGCACGGGCATCAATCTTAGCATCGGAATCTGCAGCACCATCTTCGTCTTGGGCGGGTTGAAGCAGTGAGTCGAAAGGGTCTGACCCGCGAGATCTCCGTAGATCTGTGTCAGTGCCCGTTGAAGCGGTTAGGAAGAAGGACTTATCTCCGTAGATCTGTCTCGAGGCCCTATGAAGCCAAAAGTCAAACGGGCTGATCTACGTAGATCTGTCTCAATGCCCATTGAAGCAGTGCCGATAGGGAAGGTAGGGCATGACCTACGGGGCCTAGAGCTGTCTCCCGTTCTGAAATTGCCTACCCGTATCAAACCCTTGTGCCGGTGTGTATTGTATGCATCCCAAATCATGATATAAATTACATGTTGTTGTTATTGTTGTTGTCTTCACGTTGAAAATCGTCCCGATCTCTACTTAGAACCTTTCAATCTCGGTAGGTACTTGTCCAATACTCGCGCGCCTCCGATGGTATTTTTTTTTTCCCGATCGTGCTACAATACATATGTTGCTTTCAGGAGCACGTATCAAGACACGACGGATGTTCCCCCTTGATCCGAAGCATGATGCTCAGGGTTAGGGTGAGGGTTAGGCTAGGTGGAGCATGCTCTACTGTAAGTCCGGTCCACGGCAGTTGGCGACCCACACCGACCTCTTTGCTCACCAGTCACAACCGACCTCTTTGCTCACCAGTCACACCCGACCTCTTTGCTCACCAGTCACAATCACGCCATTTGTTTTGTTCGGTCTTGCGTCGTATGAAATCAAAAGCCTTGGTTACGTAGCTGTAGTTGTTGCCTTCACATGAAAAACCGTTCCGACCTCGTTACCCAGTGCCATCTTTTGTCCGTACCAGTCCAACACACTGAAGAGGTCGGTTCCCGTGGCCACAGGCTAACTCACCGTAAAACGGTGTACTCAATAATAATGCATCCGAAGTAGGCATGAGAAAAACACGAGTTTTGCATACACATTACGGAAGACGTCCGCGTCCGGTGGGACAGTACGGATATTACGGAGAACTTCGTACTGAGCGGAAAATGGAACGAGATCTAATGTCAAGGCTACAACAACAACAACAACAACAAACAACCAACCAACAACAAAAACCACCCCTGCGCGCTGCCCGTACGTCCCGACCCTGGCTGCGATTTCGATGTGTCGATATTTCAAGAACACGGCTGGCGATCTGGGCCTGGGTCTTCCGATACATTCACATCGCGCTCGACACATTCGTGCTTTACGGCGTGCTTCGCGAGAAGGGCATGGATGAGCGTGTTGGAGACGCTCGGCCGTCCGACACCAACGCCAACAACACCGACGATGCCCCGCCTCCCTCGACCCGGCACGGTGGACAGGTCAAGGACGAGCCTGGTTCAGGCGGTCATTACATAGCGACAAATCCTACCTTTACCCCGACCCCTGTCTAGACTTTGGAAGTGGACTAGGGAAAAACACTAATGCCATGTACACTCTTCCTCCTCAACCAAAAAAATTAAACTTGTAAACTTTCCGAAATATACAACGGTATGTAAACTTTCCGAAATATACAACGGAGGGGAATTGGTTTTTGCCTTGTGCGTTCACCTGTCAAGCATATTCGTGCGGACTTTTCTAGACTCGAGTTGTTCGGGTGGTTTGGTACGCCATGCGTCTAGGCTGCTGGGGGCTGGTGGGGTGGCCCGCAACTTAGTCTATGCCGGCGGCGACCGCTCCGCCTTCTGTGTAAACATGGCATACGTCCGTAGAATTTCGTGAGCTTTATCAACGTTCCATTAGGTTGAGTTGTACGCGTGTTGTCAGCGGCTATTAGCGACCGCGCTCGAAACCTCTATTAATAGTTCTGCCCGAGGGTGGGGTTGTTACTGTATTCCTGGGGTAATGCTACGAATCCCCATGTGTTGTTCTTCACCGTAGTCACAAATGGTCCTCAAGTGCCTAGAATATGTTTGAGTTTTTCGAGGCTATATCAATTTCCCCACTGACTGCCGAGTTCCTTCAGTGCTGGCGCGTCCTGTCTATCTTGTTAGAACTGCCTTTGTTTGTGATATGTGCATGTTCGGACAACCAGTTTTGTGTGTGTTTATGTCGTTTCCTGTATTCCGGCAAGTCATCCCATGGGACAGTGTCACTACATACCTAGCCACGGAGCATGCATGAAAAGAACACGGGGTCTATGATATATAGCGGTGTTGTCACCAAAATAACGTCCCACACACACACATGGGTTGTTAGTGGACTTGGCTTCCTCAATCCTCTGCGAAAACATGGCCGGCCGCGGTGGTGTTGTAAGCCAACGAACACCATCAACCGTTCTACCTTGGTATTTCTCGATGCGTGCCACCTTCTCGCTTGCTTAAAGAACGCCGGCGAAAAGCTGTTGCCAGCCCCTCGGCGGCGTACGTAACTAAGTTCTTCGTTCGGAGAGCTTAGGATTAGGGCTCTCAAGCCGAGAGTTCGGGTGTCGACCGACGTCGTAGGTGTGGCTTGTCTCAAAACAAATAAGGCGTTGGAAACGGGTTAGGTTTTGACTCTCAAGGAGATAAAGTTGGTGTCGACCACCTTGCTTGGTAGAAATGGCTTGTCTCCAGACAAGCAAGGCGTTCGGGACGGGGTTGGGCTCTCAAGCCGAGAGCTCGGGTGTCGACCTACGTCGTAGGTGTGGCTTGTCTCCAAACAAGCAAGGCGTTGGAAACGGGCTAGGTTCAGGCTCTCAAGGGAATCAAGTTGGTGTCCACCACCTTGCTTGGTAGAACTGGCTTATCTCCAGACAAGCAAGGCGTTCGGAGAGCGGGTTATGGTTAAGGCCTTCAATGGAGTGAAGTTGGTGGCGACCACCTTCTTCTTAGATTTCGGCTTGCCTTCAAGAAGAACACGACACTATGTACATCAGGTAAGGGGTGAGGGTATCTGTGTAACGCACGGTGTTTTATCATGCTTTGTTAGGGTGCGCACGCGTACGCCTGCACACGAAAGGGCTTGTGACTCGATGATATGAAGCAGATGTTGGTATTGTGGCGGGAACGTTTTTAGGACGAACGACTCGCTCTGAGACGGCTCCGTTTGGTAGACAACAAGGGGGGTGTTTGGATAACATGTGGGAGGTATTGGACACGCAGGCCAGCGGTACCGTGCACCCCCCATAAAACGGAGATAGATCGATACTTCGTTTCTTTGTTGGATGTTTACCACCAATGATACGTTTGGCTCGCTTACAGTATGGCCTCTTTTCTTGGGCTTTGCACCCACCCGTCGGTCGCCCCGTGTTGGAGCAAAGCACTTTGGCACGACGAAGATTGAAGGTTGATCCACAACCTATCGATTAAATTACCAAGAACTTTTTATTGCCCTTCACGATGATACGTAGGTTGCATAATATATCACACCCCGCTGGACCGATTTGCGAACCTCGACTTCTCGGCAAGAAAAGCAGTGAGGGTGCCGAAAATGGCCGCGTTGGAACCGTCCCGTCGAGAGTTTTCTTGAAACGTATCCTTTCGTTTTTCGGCATCCTCGTCCTCGTGGGGTAACCGAGCTTTGAAAATTGATCCAGGGGGTGTAGACTAAGTCTAATGCAATCTACGGTGGTAGTGACTTGCCCTTTCAAGGTCTATCCCAAGCAGTTGCAGGCCGTTGCGCTCGACCTGGCACGATGGAACGACGACCGTCATCTGTCTTACCGCTTTTTTTGTGTATTTTGTAAAATTGTTTCAGGGAAGACAGGTAGGCACGGTTGGCGCGTTCTGTATACATCATCAGATAGAAGTTTGACGGAAAGGAAAAAAGAGCGCGTGGGTAAGGCATGAATGCAGCGCCCGCGCAACCGAGGGGTAAACACTTGCCACCTGATTGCTCTCCCATCAAACCGTGCAGACTGGTCAGCGGGGGAGGCCATTCACTGTTGCTGCCAAGAGCACACAACAGTATGCGTCGATTCCCGTATACAGTAGGAACGACTTCTTTTGTCGAACAGGCCCTAGTCTACATATGTAAGATATACTCGCAGCAGTCTCTAGACGTGAGGATCCTCGGGGATACGTGTTGAGAATTTCGTATGTTGATGGGTACCACCGATGCAGATACGGGGACCCTTTTGGCCTTGGTTGCGGTGTTGAAGGCTCGCGCATCTAGCGCACTGCTTTCGCTCTCTCCACCGCTACCGCCGTCTCTCTCCAATCAAGTTTCCTTCTCCAACGCTTTCTCCAACGCCAACGCAATCTCAATCTCTACCTCTCTCTCTCGGCCTAACACGGCCGACTACCCACTGCCCCAACAGACGCCCAACACGGGCTTGCTGCACCCCGCGTAGTTTACCTTTCACACTAGTGCGAATCAGATTCAGATTCTGCGCGCGGTCGTAGTACACCGGGGGGTTGTGCATTCACGCGCAATCGGTAGACTCCCACAACAAAAACATCATGCCTACCTCGGAGGATTCCGAAATTGACCTCTCTACCCTCAGCAAAGAAGAGCTGCAACAAGAAGTTCAACGAAGGGTGGACGCCCAACTTGCGAAGGAGAGAGCAGAAATCGCCCCACTGCCAGCAGAACAGCAGTCACCTACCATCGGCGAGCAGTCGCTACGTCCCACACCAGCCGACATACCGCCCACCGGCAACCAGCCTTCACCCTCCAGCCAGGGATCCCAATCATTCAACAATCCCACCAACGTCGCCAACATCGTGGCGCAAGCGGTCAAGGCGACAGCCGAGGCCATGTCTGGACATCAGGGCTTTGCCCACACAGGCACGTTTCGTGTCAACCCCGGCTCTGACATAGACCCTTGGCTTGGAAGTGTGAAGAAAGAGCAGGATTTGTATATTATGTTTGATGTTTTTCGCAGTAAGATGGTGTCGTATTTTCAGGAAGAGGGTGTATATGATGTATTAGGGATCACTGATGTCAAGGTTGGCAAGAGGGGTGTGGATCTAGCAGAGCTAAGGGGCATCTTCGGGACTGATGTGGTGGACAAGTCGTTGAAGTTGTGGAATATTATCATCAGCAAGATTCTATACCCTCCGATCCAGAACTTGATCATGGCATGTGAGAGTCCCCAGCAGGGGTGGAAGATCGTCACGAAGTTCTACCAAGAGAAGAAGGAGTCTGAGAAGACTAGGCTTGAGCAAGAGTGGTTGGCGTTAGAAATGCGTGAGTCGGAGAACCCACAGGATTACATAGCAAGGTCGGAAGCTCTTCGATTACGTCTTGCCTCAGTAGGAACTATCAAAGACACAACACATGCTTACAAGGACGTTGTGCGCGGCCTTCCCCCATCGTATGCCGTGCAAAAAGGAATATTGCTAGCAAGCGATGTCGTGACTTTGCATGCCCTTGAGACTGTGGTGAGGGACGCCCACATGGAGATGGAGCGCGAGAGGAGCAAGGAGCAGAGGCGAGAGGCGGAGCTCGCCCTCGTCGCGTCCGGTGCGAGCCGGAGCGGCGGGGGCAATGGGGGGGCATCCGGGGGACAAGGAGTAGTCGACGGTCAAGACCGTGAAATCCGTGATGGCGAGAGAAACCGTGACGTGTTCGTCGAAGATCCCACCGGTTTTTGCCGCTACCACCAGTCCGAACTACACACGAACGGGCAATGCCGTTACCAGCAGCATCTGCGGCGGACTCGCACGAGAGCAGCCGCCGAGGATCGCCACGGAGGTGGCGGCGGAGGCCGTGGCGGCGGCTGGAGCCAGCGAGGAGGAAGACCGCCGTCGGGAGCCGGCCGGGGTGGCGGGCGTTGGGTGAGAGTTGAAGGGCAGCAGCACCACACCGGTCATGGTGGCGGTGGCTGGAGCCAAGCCTCACCCCCCCCGCGACCTCTTCGTGGACGTGGACCTGGTGGTCGTCTGGGGCGGCACCCGGGGGGTCGAGGGCCCTCGGGACGCCACAGCAGCGACGGGCGTGCCGAGAGAGAGCGGGCAGGGAGAGGCCCGGGGCACGCGCGTTCTGGCCACGGAAGAGAGCAGGCGTACGTTGTGTACTACGCCCACGATGATGGTGGCTACTACGAAGACTATGGCGACTACGACGACGGCTACTACTACGACGGCGGCTACCACGACGCCGGGTACGCCCACTACGCCGGCGGTGGAGACAGCTACAGCTACCCCTCAGGGTACGAAGACAGCCGTTCATCTGACGGCGGCATCCACTACGTCTACTACCCTCCCGCCGGCGAAGATTCGTCATCCGAGCAGCAACGTCAGCCCCCCCCCGCGAGCGCTTCCTCCTCGTCCTCTACTCCTTCTCCTGGCGCGCCTCCATCTTCGGGTTACCTCCACCTCTGCACGGCACAATCGGTGCCCCTAGGCAAGTCTCACCCTGACGATTTTTTCAGTAGGATAGGAGTGACGATAGGAGTAGAGTCTGCTTCTAGTGCTTCGTCTTTGCTGAGTGTGAAATCTAGTGAGGGGCCGCCTGGTAGCGAGAGATGGGTAGCTGACTCAGGAGCCAGCAACAGTTTCACCAACAGTGACTTGCACATGTACGACTTGCAGGAGATACCCTCGAATAGGCAGTATGTCATTGTAGGAGATGGTCGTCTGCTGAAGGTGAAAGCAATCGGTAGCATCAACCTCAGCTTTTTCCAGGAAGGTGAAAACGGTGTGCCAACGACGATGTATGTGAAGCTGACTGACGTGTCTGTGGTCGAGAGTCTGAGTTTCAACTTGTTTTCGACGCATGCTGTTTCCCTTCGGCAACGAATAATCCATGACGAGCGTGGTGTGACCCTGCGTAACGGACTGCTGTTTGCTAGAGAGGAGAAAGCTTCTGCCGCCTATGCAATGCGCATGCCTTACGACCCGTCTGCGATTGTGGTAGACTCTGCTGCCTTGCCTGCCTTCGTGAGATCCCCCGTTACCACCCCCGCCGTTGGCTCCACGCGTTCCTCTTCCCAAAAAGGGGGCTCCGCGGAATCATTGGTGTCCGTATTGCGTGTTCCTTCCGCAGGCTCTGCTACCGTAGTACCTTCGAGTGAGAGCGTCCCGCCCACTGGTCCAACCAGTGTAGTACCTGCGAGTGAGAGCGTCCCGCCCGCCGGCTATGCCGACGTAGTACCTTCTTCGGCTTCCGGTTTTGAGTGTGTGGGTACTTTCCCGGGTATGGATCTTGGAGATACGAGTGTGCTCACCGACGAGCAGCTCATGGATGGCTATGATGACACCCCACATCAAGATTTTTTCCCCGTATTTATCCCAGAGAGTGACGCTGCGAATGTGGCTGGTGTTTTGGATAGCATTGACGGAGGTTCTGATTTTGACTTGGGTGCGGCCGCGCTTGGCCCTGGTGCGTCCCCGTTCACTCTTGGATCGACCGAAAAGTCCGTTGACATCAACCGCTTCCACCGCTCCCTTGCCCACGCTTGCGAGCCTCTTTTGAGAGAAACTGCCCAGCAGAGAGGCATCGTGCTCACCGGCAAGCTGGAACCGTGCACGGACTGCATGAAGGCGAAGGGCAGGCGAGCGTCGGTGCCGCGGGGGCCGGGAGCGAGGGCGTCCAAGCCTCTCGGGCGTGTTCACCTGGACCTGTGTGGACCGCTGGTGCCTTCCCTGGGCGGCAACCTCTACCTGTTCGTCGCCGTGGACAGCGCCTCGCGGTGGAACAAAGTCTACGGTCTCCGGCGGAAGTCCGACGCGCTGGCGGCAACGAAAAGGCTGCTGGCGGACGTGGGGCGGTACGACCTCGGACGAATCGAATGTTTCCGCGTCGACAACGGCACAGAGTGGACCCGCGGCGATTTCCGGCGCTTCTGCGACGACAACGGCATCGGCGTCGAGTTCACCCCGCCCGGCGTCCCGCAGTACAACGGCGTCGTCGAGAGCGCCATCTGGCGGATCATGAAGGCCGGCATGGCCGCCCGCCGCAGCGCTGGCCGTGTGTTCCACGTCGACTTCGCCTCCATCCCCGGCCTCGACGAGCGTGGTGACCGTCTTTGGATGGAATCGGCGAAGTGGGCCGCCGACGCTCTCAACCAGTCGGCGACCAAGGCCAACCCCGGGCGGCGCTCGCCGCACGAGATGTTCACCGGCGAGCAGGGGCCGTTCCGCGTGCTGCCGTTCTTCCAGCCCGGCTTCATGCGCGAGGACCGCCGCACCAAGCTCGACGACCAGGCCACGCTCTGTTACTACCTGAACGGCGGCGACAACCACCCGAGCGGCACCGTCAAGGTCCTCAAGGCGTCCACCGGCCGCGTCGTCTACACCAACAACGTGTCGTGGGTGACGTCGGCGCCAGCCGGCGAGGGGGGTTCCGCTGGTATCACCGCTGCGCCGACACCCCCCCCGTTCACGCCGCCGGTCGTCTCGATCAACTTTGGCCCAGCACCGACGCCTTCGACCGCCACACCGCCACCGCCAGCGCCCACGCCGTCGCCCGCTCCCGCTCCCGCTGCCTCTTCGACTCCTGCCGCAACGCCGCCGCCAGCGACCACGCCGCCGCCCGCTCCCACGCCTTCACAGCCGCCCTCTGCCACTTCGCCGTCACCGTCGGCGACCCCCGCTCCTGGCAATCCGTCCTCTGCCTCTCCGCCGTCACCGTCGGCGACCCCCGATCCATACCAGCCGCCGCCGCCGCCGGACCCCGCGATGCCCCCGCTTACGGCTCACGCCATGCGGCAGCTTCGCCCGGGTACAAAGGCCGAGGGTATGACAGACCCGCGGCTGCCAAGCCGTACGAGATCGGGCACGAGGCACAGCACAGGACTCATCTCGATGCTAGACAGGAACACTCTGGTGTCGATGCTGGAGGCTCGGAGCGCGGTGGATAAGGAGCGCAGGGAGCTGGGGGGGGCGGAGGCCGGAGAGCCGGGGGGAACGGGGGCCGGAGAGCAGGCGGGAGCACTCGCAGCAGTGGACCCGGGGGCTGCAGGAGCGGGCTTTCCACTCGCATTTGCCACGCTCCTCGCCAACCGGGAAGACATCGACGCCACGCTGCGAGACCAGCGCCCGCCGGAGCAACGCCCTGACCTTCCGCATTGCCAGGCCAGCGACCTTCGTGTCCCCAAGAGCTACAAAGAGGCCATGGCGTCGGAGCACCGGCACCTTTGGAGCGACTCTATGCAAAGGGAGTTTTATGGCTTGTTGGAAGCGGGGACTTTTACTCCGGCGAAGTAGCAACTAGTGGAGAACGCAATTAACGCTAAGTGGGTATTCGATTGGAAGGCAGATGAGTTTGGATGGCCCACTAAGGTTAAGTCGAGACTTGTAGCGAGAGGTGATATGCAGAGAGAGTACATTGACTTTGGAGAGTTGTACGCGCCTACCGTTTCTGTTTCATGTGTTAGGATGTTGGCTGCTTTGGCGTGCGAGTTGAACCTCGACTTGTGTCATTTCGATGTTGAGCAAGCTTTTGTGCGTTCGGAGTTGGAGGAAGACGTGTACATGCGTTTGCCGCAGGGATGTGGAGCTCTATCAGGAATGATTGTAAAACTAGGCAAGAGTCTGTATGGCTTAAGACAGGCATCTAGGCAGTGGCATGCAATGCTGAAGAGGTGTTTGGTGGCGTTAGGATTTGAGCAGTGCATGGCCGATGCTTGTGTGTTTCGTTTGATTGAGGATGGATGTGTTGTTTTGATTTTGGTTGTACATGTAGATGACATCTTTGCTGTTGGAGAGAGGGAGAGATGTGATAAGTTTGGCGCTGACCTTAACAAGTCCGTGCCAGTGAAGAACCTGGGAGAGTTGAGATGGTATTCTGGGTGCTTTTACGAGAGGAATAAGGAGACCGGTAGGTTGACGATTTCTCAGCAGACTTTCACGGACGAGCTAGCAGCAGAATATGGAGTAGTGGGAGGTAGGAGCGTTCCGATGTCTTCGGGTGTGAAGCTTTCTGATTTTGATGCGGATGAGGTGGCGACAGAGTTTCCGTTTCGTGAGCTGGTAGGATCGTTGATGTGGCTGGCGACTCAGACTAGACCAGACATTGCGAATGCAGTAAGGGCAGTAGCTAGGTATTGCGCATCTCCGAAGCTGGTACACTGGAATGCAGCGATGGATATTTTAGGCTATGCGAGGAGGACGAGTCACTTTGGTATTTCGTTTCAGAGAGGTACGGTAGAGGGATTCAGCTTGCAGGGATACGCTGATGCGGACTTTGCAAGCAAGGCAGCAGACCGTAGGTCGGTATCAGGGGGGATCGTGACGTGTGGAGGAGGCGCTGTGTCTTGGTTTTCCAGAACGCAAAAATGCGTCACGCTTTCGACGACAGAAGCAGAGTACGTCGCGCTAGGCGACGTAGTGAAGGAGATTTTGTTTTTGAGGCAGATTTGGCGTTTCATGTTGCCGCAGGTCGGCATGCCGTGCATCCCCGTCTTCGAGGACAACCAGGGGGCGATTCAACTAGCGCAGAACCCCATCTCAAACTCGAACTCGAAGCACATTGATGTAAGGCACCATTTTCTCAGGGAACTGGTAGAGAGGAAGGAGATTTCGGTGATTCACGTGCCGTCTCCGTACCAGCGTGCAGACTTTCTTACGAAAAGTTTGCCCAAGGATGCGTTCGAGTCTCACCGTGATTTTGTGATGAATTTGGCATGAGTTTTTATTATTTTTCTGATGAGTTTGGTTTGGCTTTCGATTTGATTGTTTTGCTTTCCGCGCTAAGTTATTTTCACGCGCGATGCAGCAGTATTCATGTTTCTTGGACTTGGTTTTCGTGTCATATATTTTGGAAGTAATCTTGATCGCATATATTCAGGAAAAGAAGACGCCTTTTGGTTGAGATATCCGATATTGTTTCGTAGTTTGCAGTGAAGATACTGTTGCGAGCAGGGGGGATGTAAGATATACTCGCAGCAGTCTCTAGACGTGAGGATCCTCGGGGATACGTGTTGAGAATTTCGTATGTTGATGGGTACCACCGATGCAGATACGGGGACCCTTTTGGCCTTGGTTGCGGTGTTGAAGGCTCGCGCATCTAGCGCACTGCTTTCGCTCTCTCCACCGCTACCGCCGTCTCTCTCCAATCAAGTTTCCTTCTCCAACGCTTTCTCCAACGCCAACGCAATCTCAATCTCTACCTCTCTCTCTCGGCCTAACACGGCCGACTACCCACTGCCCCAAGAGACGCCCAACACGGGCTTGCTGCACCCCGCGTAGTTTACCTTTCAACATACATACACCTGAGAGCCTCGGCTATTCACATCACATACACACATTAATCTGCCTTCGAGGACAGTATCCAACCGAGGGTGGGAGCGATGCGTGCTGTATTCACGCGCGCTTTTTTAGTCAGCTCGCCGCCAGCACCCGATTTATGCACAGAACGCGCCCACCGGATCTTCTTGCACCAGCCTTGTCCCTCGTGCCAGGTCGGTGGGGAATCCAGCACACACGGAACTAAAGCATCTCGAGTAGTGTTTATTTTATTGTGCGAGGAGGGTTCAAACCTTCAAAACACTCCTCTGCTGCTGCGCTTGATAGCCAGAGCCCACCGATATTATCTTTGGCAATTAGTCTACATAGCTTACATTATAAAACATAGACTACTTGAGTCTAGCTATAGCTACTGTATTGTTATTAGACTAGTCTACGCGTCGGAGACGATGGATCAATGTTGAAAAGAATCCTTCCACCGAAATCCGGCCCTGTGGTCGTAGGACGATTGTCAACGCCGCAAAAATCCGAAAACCACCTGTGAGTGAGTAAAACGCCCGGCTTGGTGCCTTACAAGAGTTGGGCCGGATGGAAACCAATGGAATGTTGTCCCTTCGAACATATTTTCAAACCCGTGCTTCTGTGTAATGGAGAGTCTATACAGACTGGGGTCTGGGGTAATGAGTATCTCCGGCGCGTGCGGGTGTATATACTACATAGCCGTCAGCAGGTGTTTGGTAGCAGCCGTGATTAAGGTGGAATAGAACGGGGGATTGCGGAGTCCATGTGGTGCCAGTAAAGAGGCGGATCTTTCTATGAAAAAAAAATGCAGAACACACTCGTAACAAGCCGAGATGGATCGGACATTTCAGAGGCGAGAAAGGTTAGGCACCACAGCAAGAGAGAGCACAACACACCGACAGCTGGCACCGCCCCTACTCCTGTAATAGTCAATTAGCCCAGCGAGAGACTTGGAATAGACACCCCAGAGAAGTGTGACCAAAAAGTTTGTTCTTCGTGAGGAGGAGCGGGGGCATCAGCGGCATCGGCAGGGCGAAGAAGGGAGCGGGCAGAGAGCAGCGGACGGACGACGACAGCATGTCAACCATCCTCTCGTGCGAGACTGGCTTCACGGCGATTGGACTGCAGGAAGGAGAAGACAATATCACCCCGATACGCGTGATCTCGACTCTGGTCTCGGTGAGCGTCGTCAGCGCGTGGTGCAGCTGGACCAAGGTCAAGCGGCTAAGCCTTTTCTTCGCACATTGGCTCAGGTAGGCGTGGTTTGATGTTGTTCTTGTTTCTTTTTGAGAAGGAAAATTTGGAAGTCAATCATTCAGGGGACGCATCTACAGGATGAGAGCGTACCAGGTGGCGTACCAGATTGTTCTGTAGTTGCCTAGAAGATCTGCTGTTCATTGGGCGCCGGTTATTTCTCTACCAGTAAACACACATGATAACATGCTAATATATCCTGTCCCAGAAATACTCTCCGCCTCCCCCCTCCTCCCCTCCCCGGGGGAGGCCGAGGCCCGCAAGTGCAGTTAACCCTCGAAAAAACCACCCAACAACGACGGATATACGGTCCCTAGCACCGTGTAGGAGAGGATCCTGAGTTTGGCGGTCGGGAGTTACCGCGGTCACGAGATCGAGGTAGGTCGTGATAAGCCAACTTGGAGACAGCTGCCGATGGGTTTGAACCCAAATGCCCCGGTTTGGACACCGGGGCAAGGCAGCGGTGGAGAGCACGGAGAGGGTGGCGGGATGATCGCACACCGTGTGGGTAAGCACCCAACAGGGGGACGGAAAG